ATACAATAACGTTGAACCATCCTTCCTTCTCGACCCTCATTTCTAAGAGTCATTGTCTGTCCTGATACTCCAGAAGTACCTCCTGGCCTTAAGTGTTCTGGCCAACACACCAGATGGAGAGAGGTGATAACTACGACTGGTGCCTTAAAACCCTGAACCCTAGTTGTTTCATGAATAGGATGAGACGAGCTCACTGCTCTTCCTCAGAGGTATAAAACCAAAACTGAAAACATTTGTGATCAGACAGGAATATCAGCACACATCCACACACATGTTCACTTCAGCCCCTCTGATAAAGTGCAGCTCACAGCCGCTTCAGAGGGAATGAAGCTCCTGGAGCAGAGAGACAGTCAAACAGAGCGAAGTGTCTCTGAGCGAGGGGGACAGAGACAGCAGAGAGAGCGACAGGTGTCGTGTCGCAGTCAGGTGTCTGAAGAGCTGCGAGACAGTGTGCGTGATGAGGATTATTGCATATTAGCCTAATATGAAAAATATTTTTTATGTTGTTGTTGGGTTACATTGGGGCTACTGTCAAAGCATTCGGGGCCCCGGAAAAACGACCTGGCGACGCCGTTGGTGGGTAGCCTATGTCCCCAGCGTAAACGAGCCTCCCTCCCTGCTCCCTCCCTACAGGTTGAGATACATGCTTACCGCTTCACCTCCACTCTCCTCCTGCTCTCTCTCTCACTCAGCCCTGTCACTCGCTAATAGTGATGGCAAGTTCGAGTCTTTTGACAGACTCGTTCATTAAAATGAACAAATTTTTATTTTGAGTCATTTCGTTCATTTGAACTAGGCTGGTTATTGCGGCGCTGCAGCCCTCAAACACGGAAGGCTGCCTGGCTTGCTTTATTTGACAAAGTATAATGCACAAATTCACCTCTTGATCTTTCTCTATCATCATTATATAACCCCCCCTGGGCCCACAACCAATTCAAACCATGTAAAAACCACAGAAATATGTTGTCAATATGTAATCACCACTACTCCGGCTAAATCCTTCCATTTTCACAATCTTTCCTGAGTAGTATACAACCAGACCAGCCATATAAAGGCTGATGTATATAATTACTATCATTATCTCTGAAGTGCTCATTCATACAGCAGCCTAACGTCCCAATCCATGAGTAAAATGTTACTATCAGATGAGCAGTAAATATATAGAAGTAATAAGCTTGATACACTATATGAAGAAACACACACTAGTTAAAATTCAAACAATTTAATAATAATCTGGATCGAGCCACCAAGTTTTAAAGAACTCCAGCACAGAGAGAGGAACAGAGAAATATTAACACATATATAAACGCAGCAGTTTGGCAGGTCTGGACAGAATGGGCCACATCAGGTCCTGATTCTGCAGACACACACAGAAACACCATGAGCACGTCGCTCTCAAACACTGCAGGTTGTTCAGCAGTCAGGAGCTGTGAAACAACAGCACGGCTCTGTTGGGAAATAAAAGGAAAAGTTATGTTGCGTTCTCTGGCAGACCTGGATCATCTGTTCCCAGATTATTTCCCACACTTTTTGAACCTGGTATCTTATTTCCTCTCCCTGCAGCTCTCGGTGTGCAGCCGTCTCTGTGAGCGTCTCCCTCTTATTTTCTCCTAGCAGTCAGCCTTGGCAGCAGCTGCAGCTACAGCAGGTCAGTCATAGTGAGCCGGTCCCAAATACTTAAAGCAATCTTTACATCTTGTCATGGTCACATATTTGTTTCATCATATCTCCTATGTTTGTATAATATCTCTAATCACAGATCACCTCCAGTAGTATCAGCAGCAACAAAGCAGCAACTGTAAGTTGTGTCAGCCCACCCTGTTTTAAAGGTAGATCTGGGTATTACCTGTTTTCTTTTTCAAAACTCTGCAGCATTTGTTGATGTATCGATACAAAAGCATCTGTATACGCATATAATCAAGGAATACATAACAATACATTTCTGTCAATATTTTGAGAACAGCCCAATTTAAATCCTTGTTCCATGTGCCTCTTTTATACTTTGAGCACCTGCCCTTCCAGAGGTCTCTGCACGGCCCTGATACAGAAAAACTTCTTGCACACGCCACTTTTGTGCAGCCTATTTTGTGATGTGGCATGAGTTAACAAGTTCATTTAATGCAAGAGGAAGTAACACAGTGCATGTTGCACAGAGGATCAGGATTGTGTTAATAAAAATGTACATCTATGATTTGGGGCGATCGCTAGTGTTTGTGGCTGCCTGCAATAAATAAAAATATTATGAAAATAATCTAAGTCTAAATAGTTGTCATTATTTTTTGATCTATACAATGACCCATTCGGAGCGGCCCTTCTGGTATTTGCCCAATTTCCAGATGGCCAGTCCGTCACTGATTACAGATTGACATCCTTTCCTTTGTCTTTCCTTTTTTGAAAACCAGATATTGGTTTACTTGGCAACATTGTGATCACTGTATTTCTGGCTCATCTACTGACTGCAACTAAGCACGTCACTGATCAGTGCGCTGAGGCAGGACCAAACCTTTTCATGCAGATACAGGGGGGGGTGGTCGGTCAATATGGAGGTTTACTTTTTGGTCAATGGGGATTTTTAACTTTTACTGCCAAAAACATCCATCCATCCATCCATCTTCATCCGCTTATCCAGGATCAGGTCGCGGGGGGAGCAGCTCCAGCAGGGAACCCCAAACTTCTCTTTCCCGAGCCACATTAACCAGCTCTGACTGGGGGATCCCGAGGCGTTCCCAGGCCAGTGTGGAGATATAATCTCTCCACCTAGTCCTGGGTCTTCCCCGAGGCCTCCTCCCAGCTGGACATGCCTGGAACACCTCCCTAGGGAGGCGTCCAGGAGGCATCCTTACCAGATGCCCAAACCACCTCAACTGGCTCCTTTCAACGCAAAGGAGCAGCGGCTCTACTCTGAGCTCCTCGCGGATGGCTGAGGTTCTCACCCTATCTCTAAGGGAGACACCAGCCACCCGCCTGCGGAAACCCATTTCGGCCGCTTGTACCCGCAATCTCGTTCTTTCGGTCACAACCCAGCCTTCATGACCATAGGTGAGGGTAGGAGCGAAAATCGACCAGTAGATCGAGATCTCCTGCTCCAGTCTCCCCTCACTCGTGAACAAGACCCCGAGGTACTTGAACTCCTTCACTTGGGGTAAAGACTCATTCCCTACCTGGAGTTGGCACTCCACCAGTTTCCTGCTGAGAACCATGGCCACAGATTTAGAGGTGCTAATCCTCATCCCAACCGCTTCGCACTCGGCTGCGAACCGATCCAGTGAGAGCTGAAGGTCACGGACCGATGATGCCATCAGGACCACATCATCCGCAAAAAGCATCCCAAGCCCCCCGAACCGCAGCCCCTCCTCGCCACGACTACGCCTCGATATCCTGTCCATGAATATCACAAACAGGATAGGTGACAAAGCGCAGCCCTGGCGAAGGCCAACCCTCACCTGGAGTCCGACTTACTGCCGAGTACTCGGACACAGCTCTCGCTTTGGATGTACAGCCCATACTCCCGCAGCACCTCCCACAGTATCTCCCGGGGGACCTGGTCATACGCCTTCTCCAGATCTACAAAGCACATGTAGACTGGATAGGCATACTCCCAAGCCCACTCCAGGATCCTTGTGAGAGTAAAGAGCTGGTCAGTTGTTCCACGACCGGGACGAAAACCGCATTGTTCCTCTTCAATCTGAGGTTCGACAATCGGCCGAACCCTCCGTTCCAGCACCCTGGAATAGGCTGAGAAGTGTGATACCCTGTAATTGGCACACACTCTTTGGTCCCCCTTTTTGAACAGGGGAACCACCACCCCAGTCTGCCACTCTTTAGGGCACTGTACCCGACTTCCACGCAATGTTAAAGAGACGTGTCATCCAAGACAGCCCCTCCACACCCAAAGCTTTTAGCATTTCTGGGCGGATCTCATCAATCCCTGGGGCTTTGCCACTGTGGAGTTGTTTGACTACCTCAGTGACTTCCACCAGGGAAATTCATCAGCCTCAAGCTCTGCCTCTACTAAAGAGGGCGTGTCAGTCGGATTTAGGAGTTCCTCAAAGTGTTCCTTCCACCGCCCAATTACCTCCCCAGTTGAGGTCAGCAGGGTCCCATCCTAACTGTACACAGCTTGGACGGTTCCCCGCTTCCCCCTCCTGAGATGGCGGACAGTTCTCCAGAAACACTTTGGTGCCGACCGAAAATCCTTCTCCATGTCTTTTCTGAACTTCTC